GTAAGTTTTCAGTTCGAGATTTGGCGGCTCCCCCTCCCCTCACCCCATTACAGACAGTTAGCAACGGAGAAAGAGAACATTACGGACATACCCTCCCTCCCCCACCATTACAGACAGCCACCCATTACAGACTGTCCCCCATTACAGACACTCCCCATTACAGACAGCCAACCATTACAGACAAACTGAGAAAATATATTTTACTGGTATGCGTATATTTGATTTGATTAATCCAGCAATGAAAAACTCCTATTTTCAAGTGCAAATAAATAACAAGACTAAATTTATACACAAGCAAACGGCTTGTTGGTTATTAACTGACAAAGCTAGCCGTTTATTGGCTGATAGATTATCACGAGTGATAGAAACAAACAAAAAGGATTAAAATTCTTCATCAGATTGATTTGGATAGATGGAAAATTTCTTATAAAAATAAACCACTTGATTCAAAAAGCATTCAGTTATTAACTATCATGTTTACTAAGACCAAACAAGTTTGAATTTTTTCCAGCACATTGAAAAAAACCAATAAATAATTCACCTTTCTGCTAAAATAAGACCGTCGAAAACAAGACAATTTCATTGGTTTCTTATGAATTTTCATGCACTAAATGTATTTCAAAACTTTCAGAAGAATTCATGAGACTTCATTAGACTTCAGGAGACTTTATGAGACTTCAAAGACTTCAAGAGACTTCATGAGAATTCATAAAACTTCAAGAGACCTCAGAAGACTTCAAAAGACTTTCAAGACTTCACGGGACTTCACGACTGAAGTCTCCGCTGTTTCCCCCTTGGATATTTCACTTATTAATTGTTAAGCTAAACGAAGAGCTGCAATTTATTCTTTAATAATAACTTTTAAAGCAACAATATATTTGCTATTTGCTTTCTCTTACACATTAAACATGAGAAAAATGTCCCCGACTTAAATGGGAATTCTATTTCAAAATCATTTATTGTCCATTGACGTCTAAAAATTTTATTAACGACATACGAGTTGAAGTTTAATCTATAATCAACAATAATATGGGTAAACATTGGCAAACTAAACAAATATTTATTCAATTCAATTCCTTTAAGAAATACATATGTATATCAAATTACTACTATCGCCTTTGGTTCGATTTATCTTTCAAGCATTATCTCAAAATAATTCTTTTCACGATAATACATCAAAAATGGTGTATCATTGAAGAAAGCTCTTAATTAAAGATTTTTTTTTGTTTCTATGAGACAAAAATAAAAAACAAGAATAGACTATATTAAATTTCTTTTTTCTTATATAATAAACGAATGAAATGGCTTAGTCTATCGTAAGTATTAATTTACTGTGCTTTTTCAGTCGTTTTTTGTTTTGATGTTACTTTTGTTTCATTTAAACGATTTTGTAATTAAAAGATCAACATTACTATTTGAAGATAAGGCTTGAGATTGTTTATCACTTTCATCATTGTATTTACTTCAATCACTTCCCATAAAGTATTCTCTATTTATTAAAAAAACAGCCATTTGTCAAGTATTGAAGAAAGAATATATTATTTCATTAAGAAGGTATTGGACGACTTTCAACATTTCGATTATGAACTAATGAACGTGATGAAGATTTAATATTGTTATCTTAAAGAAATATTGCTTCTTTATTGTATAAAACTATTATTATTAGTACATACTAAACAACAAATTTTCTCTCGTTGACATTCGTATTCAAAAGCGAACTAATTCAGATTAGATTATCGAATTGTTATTCTGATACAATAATGACTCTGGAATGTTAGTGTTATCATGTAACAAAACGAAGTTTTATTATTAACAATGATATCTTCTCTTTCTACAAAATAAACATAAGACATGATCAGTAGTGTCAAACCTGAAAGTTGAATTCAATTTTTAGATTTCATATATATGGTAATGTGATGCCATAACGACCATCTAATTCTGTAGAAAAAAAAACATATTTGATTATCTTTTATTATAACTGTTGATTGTGTTCTATTGAATTTCATTCGAAAAGTTTTATCAATATTATAATTACTTAGAAATAGAGAGAGATTCTTTCTCAGTTAGTTTAACGATTGCATTGTTTACTCCATTTGATAGAGACATTTTAATCAAAGTAGGATGATGATCAAATCACTCTTTTATATAATATATGTAAGAAGAAAATACGATCATAAAAACATCGTAATATGGCTGCATAAGAGCATTGCAATCAAGTGTCTCAGTAGTAAAAATTTGAATGATTTTTGCAAACACTTTCATTTCGGAAGAAAAATCCAATATAATATGATAGATTCTCTATCAGAAATCAATTTGAATTCTAGCATTGTACTCAATCAACACATTAAATAAAACATAGCAGAGATTGTGCGATAAAAATTTAACGTATAATAGATATTTTAATCAATACTTAAGAACATATTGAGAGAAACCAATCGATCACCAAGATTAAACTATCTCGAAGTCATTTAGTCAAGATCAAATAAACTTGATGCGGTTAGATCTTCATCTCATATTCAACGATTAATTGATAATAATTCATATTTCAAAAACAAAAACTGCGAGATTTGTCAAAGAAGAAACTCAAATTATGTTTTCAGCATTTATCGCAACGAGCATCTCCTGTTTCAAAATACGATACATGCGAGTTATTGTACATTACCATCGATCCATACTCTTTCTGATTATCTTATGTAAGAAATATTGAAAACAAAAGATTTATTCATTTATTTTTGGTCAAAAAGTCTTTCAAATTCGTGTTAATTGAATCTTATAGATAATAAATCATATAGAGCATTTAATGATCAGTCGATAATGTTCTTAAGAAGCATGTTGACAGACACTCGTCGAGCTCTCATTGTGATAAGTTTAACAGCAAAAATGTTTGAATCCAGCGAAACGTGAACATCTTCAGTATAAAAGCGACTTGCAATAGGTCCCAAGAAATGATAAGCCTTTTTCTATGAGATCTCGTTTTTTTTTGCAAAAATCGAGATTTGTGCTTTGTAACATATTTCATATTCAAGAGAATCTTGAATATAAGAGCGTCGATATTAATTTTTATCGTTATCTTTTGACTTCAACAAAACATTACTGCAATCAACATAAATCAAAATGGATAACTATCTACAAGTTTTGGTTTCAAATCCAAGGTCAAATACATGCAGAAATAGAGTCGGAAGAATTTCAAAGTAATCAATAGGTTATGAAGCGATCTCTCAAGAGAAGATTTGATTTGTAGAAGGGTGTGGGTGACTGTGACTGGAAGTATGGGTGTAAGTCTTGAACTAACCCACACCCATACCCTCGTGGATCCTATCTTAAACATGAGCGACGAACGGAAAGATGAAAACAAAAATTATTTCATATATTGATTGATCAGCTCCTAAAACTTGTTCTTCTCAGATGAAAAGCATTGAAAACATGTATGGCACTTTCTTTTCATTTTTATTCTTTTGACATTTTCAGTCAACTTAACCAGTTGCAGGGATTAATTCTCATATATTTTTTTGAATTTTGAAGAAAATTTTATATGAAATTTATGTTTCTTGCATTATCAAATGATTTTTGATACAAAAACAGATAAAATTCGGATTCTGCAAAAATTATCATTTTCTTTTTATACTTTGATTGGCAACATTTGTTTACGCTAGAAATCTAACTATCAAAGTATTTCTCTAGCATTCAGTTGAAATATATTTACAACACTTAACAAAAGTAATTTGACAAATAATTTTTAGAAGCAAGCTATTGAACAAAAGAAAACATTAGTGTATCTATGAATTAAAGTGGAATGTCAAAGATAACGCAAGAATATGAACAATTGTCAACTCATAAGATAAATCTAACATTTTAAAATGTTTTTAGAGATAGTAAAATCAGTATCAGAATAAAAGACAGTTGATTTCTTCTTAAATAAATGAAAAACAAAAAAATATAGTTATCTACGATTTTTGACAATGGAAAGAGCATATCATAGACTATCTCTTTATACATGAAACCGATTCGTAAATAGGTCTTTGTACCGGGATGTGTCTATTCTTGCCATCAAATATGATATAATAATACTGAAAAACTTGTGAGTGCATCATCATATTTGTTTCCAACAACAATGTTCTACGATACAGACCCAACAACCTCAATCTGATCAAACGAAATAAGTAAATCTTCAAAGTAAAGAACAGCCTCACAGTGCCTTATCAACAGACAACAAATTGTTTTCCAATATAATGGTATGAGAGGAAAGTTTTCACAATTTCTTCCGATCTATCGTCAACAATGAATATGGCTGGTCTTTCACCTTATTGTACAATGAGAAGTTGTTACTTCAATCGGAAAATTTATCAAAATTTAGTCTTTTTACACGTATTGAAAACCTATATTTACAGTTGCAAAACAGTTGGTAGTTTACTATTTTATTGCTCTTCTAAGACGAGGCATAACAATTTCAAAGGTTTTTCTGATATTTTGGAATCTGATACTGGATCATCCGATGATATCCTCCAGCTAAATTGAAACCATTCATAGTAACTCCTACAGAACTGTTTACATATCCACAAATATACTGAGACGGCAGTGCTTGTTTTAATTAAATGAAAACAAATTATTTCTAAAGTTTTGTCTTCATGATTAAATTACTTGTCACTTACTTAAAATGTAGTTAAATTGAAAAATAGAGTGAAATGGTTTTATTTTTAATACAAAATGAAGACATAAAACTTAGTTGCGAAATCAAAAGAGGGAAATAATCATAGAACAAAAGCTACCAAAAGAATCATGCATGTAAATAAATGTAAGAAGCTAAAAATGATCATACAAGAAATTGGATAAAAATGAATAAGGTGACATTTTACAGTTACAATTGATTTAACTAAAGTCAAAGCTTCGTTCATTTATTTGCCTTTCCGTCGTGTGTCACAGAAAATCTCATACTTAAAAAAATGTTTAGTCTCAATTGATTACAAAGAATGATATAAAAAACTAATTGACCTTATTTATCTCTAATGATTTTTTAATCGTTCGATAAGTTTACCTAATCGATTATTGTCATCAAAAGCGTCCATTTCTTCAAAATGGGCATGAGCAAGTTCTGTCAGATGATCCAATGTTTCTTTTCGTATATCATCAAGTACAATTGGCTTTTCAAGCCAAATTTGCCATCGATGATATTTATCATTATCTAACATATTACTCAATTGACAATCAATGTTATTTTGCGGACCATCAAAAATGACTTTTAAAACATTAGAATTATTATATGCCCAAAATAAAAGACTTCGCTCAGCACTCGGACGCAATGGATCTGGCACATAATCACCAGTACCAAGAGATAAAAGAAAAATATTATCACGATTGATTTTCTTAGCGCATGCTTCAGAGTATGCAATCATTGCTGGATTATTTGCTTGGACTCCACCATCGACAAAGACAGAATCGTTCATTTTGTAAGGTGGAAAATAGGTAGGTGCAGCTGTTGTGCACATGAGAATATCACTAAGTTTATGATCTCTACTAGGATCAGCTAGGCTATCACTTCGACGAAATAATTCTGTAGTAGTGTTACCGGAGTTAACTGCCGTTATGATAAGGTCATTAAGTGTTTGCGATAGCCGGGCATCACCCAAATAATCACTAAACAAAGTCTTTTTTTCTTCTTCGAGATATGCATGCTTAAGACCAAATAGACTTTGCATGCGTGTTGCACGAGTAAAGACCTTCTCAGAATGGGATCTGTACAATTTAACGATATCTACAGCTTTATAACGAGGTTGTCTGATACCGGGTGTATCTGGTAACGAAAGACAAGCAGTTACAATTGCTCCTGTTGACGTTCCAGCCATCATATGGAACATTGAACTGCTAGACATTCCAGTTCTTCGTTCTAATTCACTTATCCACATGGCTGGTATCAACCCTCTTATACCACCACCATCAATAGAAAGAATATTATATTGTTGGGTATTAGGTTCGGCATGAGCTAAGCTCATTTTTTTGTAAAGTTTAATTCGTTCTGTAACTGTATCTTTTTTTAATTTCAATATCAAGTCTAATTCATGTTTTGCTTCGACATAATCTTTTTTCAAACAGCACGCTTTTTCAATAGCATCTTTCGCTTCGTCATATTTCTGTAATTTACGTTTTAAAACACCTACTAGAAACCATCTTTCTGGAGAATCACAAAAATATGCTTTTCTTTCAGCATTTTCTACTAGAAATTTCTCAGCTAATGTGTATTTATTTAACTTTATCAAACAGGTAGCATAGCCTAACATTGCTAATAAGTGACTGCTATTAAGCGTCAATGACTCATTATAAAATTTCTGCGCACGGCTCCATTGTTGTAATGAGTCTAAATGATGCGTTTTATCGAGTTTTTCGGCTTGGCACCGATGATAAAATGCAATTTGATTTAGCAAATCAACTTTGAGTTTTCGATCACTAGTAGATTCCAATTGATTATAAATATAACTTAACGAAACGTCGCAGGCTACAAAAAAGCCTTTTATCTCTCTAGCATATCCAGAATCATTCTTTTTTTCCGTTAGAACATAAATAGAAATTTTTGCTGAGCCTTTGGAAAAATCTATCATTTCTTTAGTGGGAGCAAATACAAGTTTATGTTGAGGATGCGATTGAACAGTACACGGTTGAAATATTAGGTTGTACATTACAGATAAAAACGGTAAATATTGAAATGTCAATGAATATTTTCGTTCTAAAAACGAACTTTTCCATTCTTTGATGCTCAAAAGATTTTCTTTGCTTATTATTTCTGTTATCCAAGATTTTAGTGGTTCGACATTATTGTAATAGCTACCACAAACGTTTTTAATAAATTTTGTTTTATTTAATATTAGACTTCGACCTACAACTTCATCCAACAATAGAAAGTCGTCAATTTCGTCGTCATCTAATAAAACGACTGGTTCACAATGTGAAAATTTTCCGTCGTCAGTTACAAATTTGTCGATATTTTTTATATCAACATCACTTGCTAATTGTACAGATTTCTCATGAGGAAAAATTACTTCAATGCTAGCAGACGATATATGGTCAATAAAGCCAAATGTAGATAAAATATCTGTTAATGCTTGAAGACGAATTTCAGCTACGACAAACATTTTATCTTCTGTCAAGTTTTCTTCTAATTCTTGTTTAACACTTTTAATCATATTGACACTGTGTTGTAAATTCTCTGCGCCTCCGGCTATTAATTTAGCAATGACATAATTAACTTTTGCAACAATTCTCAGTTCTTTTAAACGAGCAATGGCAGATATCTTTGATTTTTCTTTAATATAGCTGTTTGACATAGAATAAGTATGATTTGACGAGGTTTTCTCAAGATATTCAATGTGATTTTTTTTCTTAAGTAAAAGATCTAATTTAACTTTACCTTCAAAATTGTTCACTTCTTCTGTCAGCTGCGTATTTTTTGAGACTTCATCAAATAGTAATGTTGCGCAATGTATGAAATCAAAATAGTTCGGTAACTCTAAACATATGTCAGCAGGCAACTTTTGTTTTGGTTTCAACTCAGGTACACTAAGTAAAACTTCACCAAGCAAAATTAGAAAGTTGGCAATACCTTCAGGTGAAAATTTATAACCTAAAAGTTCGCTTACGATTATTGCAGGCCGAATGTCAAGAGATATCTTATATTTATTACCATGTTGTATTTGTTTTATTCCGATTAATATTTTCCTCACAGAATACGAAGTCGTTAAAGAATGTAGAAAGTTACTATATTGTCCTTTACTGTAATAGTCGAGGGCATTGTTCATAATTTTATTTAGAACTTCTCGAATTTGAGACTTTTCTAAATCTGGTTGTTTTTTATGATAAAATTCATGTCCTAATAAAATATCGCCAATAAGATATAAAACACCAATGCCAACACTGCTAGATACACTGCTCGGTCTCATGATTTCTTCTATTTCTGTCATGCCTGAAGGCGAATATTTGTTGAAAATAGTAAATCGTAATTCGGAGGAAAGCGCACTTTGAAACTGTTGTAATGTAATAGAACCCTGGCTGTAAGCCATCACCGCTTTATTCAACGTTGATTTATCTTTTTCGATTTGACCAGTGTTGACTGAAGCTGTGGATGGAGATGTTTTTGTCCAACAGATTTTTTGTAAAAGCTTTTGCAGTGTTTCGAAACTTTCGCGACAAAAGCAATCTTTGTCATTTGCTACTAACAAATAAATGCCAATAATGGCATATATTTGAACTTCGAACTGTCGACTAGCCCCTGCCATGGATAGCGAAAGAGCAATGCACTTATTCAATTCAGCTTCTTCGACAAGTTTCTCTTTACAAGCTATTGCTTTGAATTCTCTTAATGCAGCTCTGTAATATTCATATGCAATAATTGCATAATAGTGCTGATGATTTGCTAGTTTCTCATCGTCGAAACTCATCAATTCTGTTCGTTTTAACTGTTTCACACTAATCCATTCATGTTTTCTCGCATATTCATATTCAACAGCAATATTCCAGTATTCATTTGCACTAGCCTTCAAATGCTCAACTAAACTATGTGAATTTGCACGATCATCAGTCAGCTTTTTCAATGGTATGCTTAAATCATCGGTGATCAACTGAAAAACTTCTGTGAACATAGATTTATGTTTTGCTTCACATTTACCAGGATGAAATAGAACAAACAATTTTTGGATCTGTGATTGAATTCGTTCTTTTGTAAACGGAATATTAGCAAATAAAAGAGAACGAAGCTCTAACTTTTTTGAAAGAACAAAATTTAGAAAATCTACCTTACATTGATATTGTAAGCATGCCAAATAGTAGCAAAAATCAATTAAAACCAAAAAAAGCGAAGTTTCAGACACACTGAAAATGCTTTTGGAGGACATCTGTAGTTGAGCCTGAAGAGAACTCAAACCAACCATTATTCTGCAACTCTCCGCATTCCATTTGAAGTATTCATACAAGGAATTTACAGAGAATTTGGAAAAATTCTTGATTGTCGACTTGAATTCATCGTACAGACTTGTGCGTGCATTGTCGCCAAGTAATAAATTCATTACGAGCAAATATTTCTCAATATTAGTTTGCAGCAATTTGTCCGTCAGAATATTGCTACCAACATTTGTTTGTTCTGCCAAGTTTTGTTCTGAATTATTTTCATTTTGTGCCAATTGACTGACAAGCTTGCTAACCATGTTTTCTTCCAATTTCCATTCATTCGCGTTTCCAAAACTAAGATAATAATTGGTATGTAGCAAGCGCGATAGACTATTATCAGTGTTGATTCTTTCTCCGATTGAAGATTCCAATTGAGAAAATGAATTCGATACAGTTTCTCGATTACTTATTGTGGCATCATCAACTATTTTGAATTGCTCATTGCTTTTTCTGCCATCCATATTTTTTAGTGGTCAACAAATCTAGGCAAGTATGAATAAAATAGCTTGTATTATTGTACATGTGGCAATCAGGAGAAGAATACTATTCATATACAAGCACATCCTAAGCGGGACTCAATCCTAGTATTGTGTCATTGTTGATATTTTGAGTAATATAAGTCATTCAAAACATTACGTCAACTGAACTGTATTGCAAACAGTTGCTCTCTAGTGACAGTTCCATCCCGAAAACTTACTATCCAGTAAGGGCACGGCTGTAAATATGAGCGAAACCAAGAGTCTCACACCCTCGCCCGACCGAAATAACCTACTTTAGCACTGTCCTAAATTGGCATTGCATCAAAATTTCCGCTATCGATTACGTTTCTCGAAGGTTCTATTAAGTGAAGATGGAGTTCTGTGCTGCTGTATCAATTCTTTTGTTTTATTGGCTACATAGACCCCCATTTCTGCTTGAATGACGCCTCCTTTCTTTGTGAATGAATAAATGCGTTGTTTTGATGATTAAATGTCGAAAATAAAAACGTCTCAAATTAAGCTCTTTTCAGTAATAAAACTTTCTCTTCTATACATTTGTGCGCTGTGTAAATGGATGCCGTATAACATTCCATGCAGCAATACTTACAAAAAATTTTCAAAAAGGATTTACAGCGATTTATTGTTACCTAAATTTTATGTTTGGACATTTAGCTACTTTACCAATAGGATGAGATACAATATTACACAAACTCAAAGTAGCTAACCTCCAAACATCGCACTGCTAAACTCCTAGATATATCCTACTCTAAAACTGTAGTCTGACTTACATAGAATTTCCGAAAGCACAATGAAAAATTCGAATATATCAATGGATCCATGAGTATTTACTGGATACTGTTCTTTATTAATGGTAACATCATTTAGTGAAAAAAATAAAAACATGAACTACCAGTTAAGGAATACAAAATGATAAGATATAAAAAACTGAGATTATGGCAAGTCTCAAATCGTAACGAGTTTTCATTAATTATCTGATCTCCGATATCTGATGTTTCCTCTGACAATCAGATATTTAACACGATTTAGTCCATTTTCGCCGAAAATAATTTTCTCCGAGGACGAATTTCGCCGAAAAGAAAATTTTACCGAAGGAAATTCGCCGATTCTATTTTCGCCGAAAGAATTTGGTTACCGAAAACAAATATAAGTTGAGTTTGATCATTTATACAACAATTCTATTGAGGCAATTAATCGATCATATCAAGTCAATTAAATCCTACTTGAGATGTCTTCCATGTCGGTTAAATTGACTACCAAGTCAGATGGTAACCATCTGAGTTGGTAGCCAACTGAGTTAGTTATCATACTAATAAAATTTGTTCATTGGTTAAATAGATGCCACCAGAAGAATGTTTATTCGTCTTAATTTGTACGCAAAAAGACTTTTGGCGTCAGTATAATCTTTATACTCTGGTAGAGGTTAACAGTTGAGAATTCGTTAGATTAGTTTGAGAAAACAAAGAATGGTGGAAAAAAGACGTTGTATAGAAAAACTAGAAATTGTTATTTGTTTGAACATATTTATATTTACTATGGCTAAAGCAGCATCAGTAAATAATTGTGTATTAGAATTTGTTTTATCAACAAACCACAAGAAAATTTTGGTTTGTAATAGATATAGATATGTTTTAAATCAAGTAACAAAGAATAAAAAATATTGGCGATGTGAAGATGGTGACAATTGTGGAGCATATGTACATACAACATCTGAAGACGTTTACTTAAAACATAACAAAGTTGAACACAATCATCTTCCAGATTCTGATGAAATTTTGATTAATAAATTAATGAGGGCGTGGGTGTGCGTGTGAGTGTGGATGGGTGTGGGTGTGGGTGTTGTTACAGAGACATTTCAGTTCTATGAATGCCACACGTATATACAAACTTCTGTTTTTGAGCTGAGTAAAAATGCTAAGAATGATCGTGCAAAGGGATGAAATCGTGTAAGTCTAAAAAAATTAGAAATGTTTTAAAGTGGTAGGATTAGTTCATCTGGTTTAAACGTGTTTTTTGTTAATCTTGTTTGACTAGGGGCCTAAATGTACCGTATTGGACTTGGCTAATAATCATCTGTTCCACAACAACATGTGGACTAATAAAGATTCTATTTCGAATAGGAAAGAATGTTCTTCAGAAAATCTTAGTATTTCATAAACTATGAAATCATTCTATGGAGCAATAACAGCAGGTGAAAAGTGATCGAAATTGGTGCTCACCGTACCGACAGCAGATTGGAGCTGATGAATAATTTTCAAGGAGACTTGACGATGTTTGTCCTTTACTGTGTGTTGAACGAGAGAAATAAAACTGAATCCCTAAGAAAAAAAAAACTTTTCTGCAGCGGAGAAACGACAATAATCAGTTTGCGAAAAAGAAGCGAACGCAAAAATTGTAACAGTAATATGCAAAAGAAAGTAAACAGTGAATGAGCGGTGGCGCTATTACATGTGCAGCACGTTTTGCCCAACTTGATCGAAAGTGAAAGAATGCTGCGCTTCATTTTAATTTATTCGAGCAAACAAAGAAAGAAAAAAACCTGCCTTTCAACGTGACTGCTCGAAAAAGTATGCCTCTTCATACATTCCCTGAAACAGAAAATGAGATTGAAGACCCTCCAGCGACGACAGCAAAGACATCAGAGTAGAGCACCAATACAGTTCTCTTTTTTACAAACCTTTCACAGTTGTTTTGATTCTCTTTGATTTTTGTGCTGAGCAAAGAAAAACAAACTTGCACAATCTTCATGCAAGCTGTCCATCTGTGACTGATATTTGAAAAGTGAAACATTATTATGGTAATGATATATGATTTTTTTCCGTATAACAGAACGACTCAGCATCACTCGTAAGGATGCTGGGATTGATTGTGGGTTGTGCGTATGGCTCTTATCTTCATCTACACACACCCTCGAATTTTTGACAGAAATATGAAAGAACACATAAATTGTTTCTTTTCACTAACGGTGCATAACTATGTTTCTTAACTACCTTTCTTCTTCACGACTGACGGTAGTCAATACAAAGTTTATAGCATGACCCTTTTGCAAGCTTGGGAAATTCTATATACAGTGCGCCTCAATTGGTTTTCCCCTCTTGATATTTTTTTGTTTTTATTGCTATACTTCTTTTATTTATTAACCTATTATATATAGGAAGAAAGCCCGGAACACGCTGCATCTTTTTGCATATTTACATTAAACATCAAATACAATTTAAAGTGCAAGAGATGTATTAGAAAAAAAAGTGACATTTTTTTCACTACAATACCTGGTGTCCAAAATGTTGTAACAGTTTTTATTTCGCGTATATCTCGGCTTTGGTAAATGATAATATTTTGAATTTTTTTCCAGAAGATGTGCCGTGAAAAGCTCTACAAAAATTGTATGATCAAATTCCTTTTTGCCTGTTCTGATGGTTTTTCTGATACTCAAAATGAACAACATACATGGCAGTGTCACTTTCCATCATATAGAAAATATTTTGAGGACTTTCCTGATTCGCTATAGGATTTGGTCTATACGTGTTTTGNAGTAAGCCAGCAAAATATTCAAGTATTTCTCAGCCTAGATAGGCTAACTAACCTGTGTGGGTGTGGGTGCGGGTGGATGTGCGTTTCTGTATGGATCTGGGCATTGCTACAGAGGCATTCCAGTTCTATGAATGCCACCCATAGATACACACTTCTGTTTTTGAGCTCAGTAAAAATGCTAAGAATCATCGTGCAAAGGGATCAAATCGTGACGCGTTTTTGTTAATCTTGTTTGACAAGGGGCCTGAATGTGCCGTATTGGACTTTGCTAATAATAATCTGTCTCACAAGAACATGTGGACTAATAAAGATTCTATTTCGAATAGGAAAGAGTGTTCTTCAAAAAATGTTAGCATTTCATATGCTATGAAATCATTCTATGGAGCAACAGCAGCAGGTGAAAATTTATCGAAATTGGTGCACACCTACCGACAGCAGATTGAAGTTGATAAATAATTTTCAAGGAGACTTGACAATGTTTGTCCTTTACTGTGTGTTGAGCGAGAGAAATAAATATGAATCCTTAAAAAAACAAAGCAAAATTTTCTGCAACATAAAAACAACAATAATCAGTTTTTAAAAAAGAAGTGCGCACAAAAATTGTAACAGTAACATGCAAAAGAAAGTAAACAGTGAACGAGCGGTGGTGCTAATACATGTGCAGCATG